AATATTAACTCAGAAAATTTTTATCCACTTTTGCTAAATGAAATTAATGAGAAAATCTTCGATTATTTAAAGAATTTATTTTTTTGCATAAAATAAACATATTTGTTATCTTCGTAAATTTCTTTTAATAGTTGTTAAAAAGAGTTGAATTGAATTTAATAATTTTGTCGAGTACGAGGGATTTTAAACAAAATATGATGTTGAAGTCAAATGTAATTTTTACAAAAGTAAAATTATAAACATTTTTTCTTAGTTCTCCATTTCTACTTTAAAAAAATAAGAAAGTAATAATTTCTGATGGATTTTGAGAAGATAAAATCGAAATGGATTTATGTAAATTATTATATAGGATAGATTTCGTCCAATCAGTTCGTATATGAATGAAAATTATAATCTGAGAGTTTGAATTCCAATAATACAAAACATAAAAGTATGTAGAAATATTTTCTGTCATTCAAGTAATTAGGATAGGCAGAAAGGAGCGATTAGATTCCTGAGATTTTGGATGATTTCAAATAAACAGATTAAATCCATAATCAATCTTAGCTCGATTCTGGTCAATGTTTGTCAAAGAAAACCATAATCAGAAACATTTTCGTTTTTTGACTTAGTTTCAATTTATTGTTACATCCGTCGTCCATGATAACCGAATACACTCTGAATGTTAACGTTTTCTATCTTAAATATTTTATTGTTTTCAAACATCGATATCATCACATCGTAAACGCGAATACATATGACATAAGAAATCTTTCATGTCTATCACAATTAAGAACTCTCACACATCCTTATCCATATCCTTCATTATTCTAACAAGTTCTGCGATTGTCGAAATAAATCATATTCCCGTGTCTTCTATCAATCAGTAAATTATCTCGAGAATAACTAAATCATCTCATTATAAGGACTGTAAACATTTCAAAAATGTTTTTCGCATTTCATTAATTATTTCATTTTGTATGGTAAGTGACATAATTAATCACTCTGAAACATATTTCTTTCGAAAATTTGTGAATTCCATTCAAGAATATGCGTCAATATATAATACGGATTTCAATATTTAAATGCTCATTTTCTGACAACATTAGGAGTTGTACTTCCTAGTCTTAAACTTATTTTCCAAATTTATGCTCATTTTTGATTGTGTATCTCTTAACCGGAACAAAATTAGCCGAGGATTTCTCTACAATTCCTACTAAGAAAGTGAACTAAAAACAATGTCTTTCATGTTCATAATGGTTTAATTTTGAAAATTCGATGGTGAATGGAGTTGTCATCGTCGTGAGATTTGAATCTATTCGTTTAAATTACTAGATGAAGTGAAAAAAATTTAACTCATATTCATCGAAGGAAGAATGATTGCTTTAGTGGAAAAATTATTTCAATCGATTGCTTTTAAAGATGAGTTACCTTGTATTGCTAGTCGATCGCTTCCTGCTTAAAGTCGTTTTTTTTTCGTGTTTTCAAAAGTTTTCTCAATGACACAGAAGATTCAATCCGACAATAGAACCGACTTGGATCCAGCAGGAATTCGATAAAATTTATATGGATTTTTGTGAAACCGACGAAATCCTATCGGAATTCGGGGAACTAAACGATATCCGGATTCCTAGTGTTAGAATCCGATGAGATCCTACTATCGAAACTCGACGGAGTCCAACGCTTCGCTCTGACTGATCCCTACTATTGTCACTAGTTAGTAATTAGTACTTAATTAATTAAATAGGTTTCATCCGTCGGATCTATTAGTAGATTCGTTTCTCAGAATCCCAGCGAATTCTATCGGATGAATGAATCCGATCAGATCCGACAGGTTCCAGCATTGAGTTCATTCACCTAGATTGGTTTAATGGAGTTTCTATCTATTTCTAAATCCTTGTATTAATTAGACAAAAGTCATTCGCTGCTTTTTGACGCTTGCGAAAATCGTCCACAAGGACCCTTATATATGAATTGAATGGCATTTTTGATTATTTTCTTAGCTGTATATGTGTTTGCTATAAGTTTCCCGGTTGAATTCATTGACATTTCTAATCATTTTCGTATTTGACATGTGATAGAACAGATACTGCTATTTCATGTACAATGATTTACCGAACTTGAATGCTGCTTCTCTGCTCGTGTTGTTTTTCTAGAGAATTCTTGTAGCCAATGCAGCAGATCTTACAGGAAGGAAATCCAAAATGAATCATAAAACTCGGATTTCAGGAGAAACTGGAGTCCGAAGTTGTCAATTTAGATCCAAGAGTTTTTTCGAGCCTTTCAAAAAAGAAAGAACGTAAAATTTTGATTTTAAATCAAAGTTTTTCACTCTTCGCCAATATTTTCATGTTGAGTAAAAGCAAACAAATATCTCGTCCGTAAACATTTGATTTTCCGTTTAGAATAAAACAGAATAAAAACAGACAAGTTTTCATTTAAACAAGAGAGAGATTTTTATAGAAATTTTTCATCGATGACTGATTAAAAATTTCTCTAAATATTAGTTTGTGTATTCCAATTAATTTTTATTGCTAAATTTTGTGTTATTCTGTCGAAAAATATTAATAACTTTATTTTGAGAGAACTTCTAAGTTGAAAAAGAAAATGAAAATGATGCTGATTTCGCTAAGTGTTGCTGAAGTTTTATAATTTTCAAAACTTTTGCAGGCAATTATAATCTTGTTTGTATATATCGATATCGAATGAAAAAAATGACTAAGAAACAGAGACGAAGTTAAATATTTTTTTTATACGAATTAGAAATAGCAAATATTAAAGCTTCAACGCGTTTAAAATTATTTGAAATTATCAACAGTTTTACAAAAAATTTCAGAATAATTCATATTTATGAGACTTGAATGAATTTTACCAAACTTCAAGATTCAATGAGACTTCAGAATTGAACTCATTTATAATTTTACTATTATTATTTGTTATTCGACTTTCAGATAACATAAAAAAGTTTTTTATTATCCTATTTGTACCATCTAAAAACAGCATACAAGTAAATAACTATTATGGCTTCGTATGTACCTCCAACATTGAATAATTCTTTAAAAACTGTTGAATGGATGTGGCAATCAAATCCAAATCCATTTTCAAAGTCTGAACGGGCTACATGGAGTCATTATTCAGATTTGGAAAACTTAATTATCGAACGGGCGTTCAAAACTAAACAGCCACGAGCCGTCTTGGATAGTTATTACATTGATTTCGAAAGTAAACTGCAAATATCCAATATTGATGATTGCAAGCAAAGACCAATAAAACGTGTGGTACGTAATAGAGAAGATAAACACTTAAGGGAAGCACGTTTTATGGATCTTCCTGTTAGTTCCGGACGTTCATTTGGTGGTGAATATGGTTGGATATCTCCATTTGTAATAGAAGTCAGACAAGTCTTGAAACTCGAGCTAGACGATTTACCTTCGAAAAAACCAAGCCTAATTCCGATACTTGTGGAAAAAGCAGCGCAAGGTATTATTGAAGAAGGTAGAAGTATCGGGGAAAAATGCGCAGCTGAAGAACTAGCTAATATGCTTCGAGAAAAGGAAAACGCGGGAATCGAAGAAGTTTGGAAATGCTGCGCTTATCTTTATACCTTGGAAAGTTTCTTGTACAAAACGTTAAATGCAGCGATGAGATTGGTAGGAGACAAAGAACAGGAAAAGGAATGGCGAAGTAAAATTCGTACATTGGGTCCTTTCTGTTTATTACTATGGGATGATCCATTTAATAAAGAATTGACAACCAAAAAGACACTTTATCGAGGAGCCACTCTAACTAAAGAACAGATCACTACGTATGCAAAAATGGCCGAAGACGATAAGGCTTATGGATCATTTCAAGCATATACATCATGTAGTCGAAATCGAGACAAAGCAGAAGAATTTGGAAATACTTTATTCATTATGGAAATATTAGTTGCTTTTATTGCCGATCTAAGTCTATTATCTGAATATTCTGCAGAAGAAGAAGAACTAGTTACACCAGGTGTTTGCTTCCATGTTAAAAGTGTTGAATTTGATCGTAAGAAGAACAAACATTTGATCCATTTGCAATTAAGACAACGATTTTCGCGTAAGTGGAAAAGTCTTTTATAATAGCCTTTAAAATACAAAAATATTTTTCTATACATTTCTATTCCCATTTAATAAGGCACATTAAGATTACAGTAATTGGCAACACTACCATTTCTTCATAGAAATATGCTGAAGTTCAATATAATATCTTAATTAATGAATAATAGATTGATTAACTATTTCTCAGTAAGAATATAAACTATGACTTAAATTATCTGGACAAATCTTACAGTCTGTTGTGTTCGAATATAAAATGCTAAAAATCGAAGTTCTTTACTTATAGACAGAGTGAAGTATATCCTTTGAAATGTATATTTCGAATAAAATCTAGGACTTAGTTTTAATGATTTTCAAAACCTTAAAAATGATTTGTTATCAAGGTAAATACTATGAATACATTTTTTTGTTTTAAATGAGACGTGTCTCGGAATTCCGTTAATTTTGAGCTCTTCAGGAAATTTGAATTCTGAAATAAATAAGAAATTATAAATATTGATGAATGCATTACAATTGAACTCTTAGAAATTTTGGAACCATATAAACTAATGAAATTCCAAAAATTCTGAGAATTTTAGAAAATCCAGACATTTAAGGAATTCTGATAACTGAAGACACTAAATGAAATTTCATATTTGTAACATTTTACAAAACACGTTCAAGTGAAACACGTAAAGGAGCCGTAAAATTTGTTGAAATTGATTGAACCCATTGGCTGCTTTATTTTTGAAGAAGTAGTTATAAACAAGCATCCTCGTAATCCTGACAAGTGATTCATCTTTCGTTAAAGCGAACAACAATAAATTCATGATTCCGATCATGACAGAAGTCGGATAAAATATACGCTCAAATGCTTTGGTTATCATCGGTATTTTTTCCCATAAGTAAGTTTCGCAATCAGATGATTGATTTCCTACTGGTCTCCTATATGTATTAAATCGAGATTTTTGCAACTTTCATCTCCACCCTTCATAAGTTCTAGTAAACGGGTGCATGAAAGCAATGAATGGCTGGATGAAGCTGAAAACTATCGTGTATACTCTTCACAAATGAGAAAAGGCGTCTAATTAATATAAGTTCTTTGAGGCTTGATAGATGCTAATTAGTATAAATGTTATAAGTTTATACTTTTTTTAATATAATGAAAGAATATTATTGAGGATGTTAATCAATAGAACGATCGTTGGTTTTTTATATCTAGCAGAGCGAGAAAAGGAGCGAGATTAGAAAAGTATGAACTAAATGAATTGCTAGTTTAGACAAAACGCAGTAATATTTGTTAATATTCTTCAAGAGAAAGGATGAAGTGCGTATACGTTAAGTTAATGAACGATGAAATGAATATGTATAGAAGACTAATATGGATGATTGCTCGTTCGATGAATAAAACAAGAGTAATATTATATTTTACCTGTTTCCATACTATGTATCGTAGACGTATTAGTACTGGTATGGCAATCCGAACAATTTTTTTTAGATGCGAATGATGTTAAGTGTGACGCATCCATCTTGCAGACTAGCACCTGTTGATCACTTGGACTACACACGCGGTTTAGTCTAATGAGAAAAAAATATGTACTATATTGTTACTATTTCGTATAATGAAACTATAATAGTTCTGAAAGAGACCATCAGCCGAAAAAAGAACAAATAGATATGTGAGAGTATGTCTTACATGCGATATATTCGCAGATATTCTAAGAAACTTTTTTTTTAGTTTAATGGCGGTTGCAGCGGTGTATCTACACGGAAGCTAGATGAACCACTATTTGTCAAATTCCTCATCTATAAAGATACTTATTCTTGATTTTTATTAATCAGAATACTAATCA